TTACACACTTTTAGTGGTGCAGTGGCAGTGCGCTGGGGTGTTTACACACTTTTAGTGGTGCAGTGGCAGTCCAGGCCGCCCTCTCGCTCTTGTGTTCGGACGCATGGATCAGTGTTTCAGAGCCTCAATAATAGATGTCGCCTTCGTGAATAATTCACGCACGACCGATTGAACTCTGCTTGCTGTCACCAAGATGTGGGGGTCCGGGGGGGGAGCTTTGACTTGCCCGTCTCTCTCCAGGTGGCGTCCGGCCCCGTGTGGGGGGGGGTATCCTGTGTCCGTCGCTCCTCTTCACTCTGCCTCTTTCAGGGCTCCCAAGATGCAACGGGAGGTCAGGAGGGACTGGTAGCTCCGCCCTTCTCAGCCTTCCCGCCCCCACCGCCGCCCCCGCCCCCTCAGAACGGCCTGGGATTGGAGTTCGGCAGTGGCCTCTTCGGCGCCGGGGGACAGAGGCCAGTGGAGGGCGGAACTGGAGTTGCTGGTTCCACTGGCACCAATAACGGCTTGAGCGCAGTGGTGAGTGACCTACTCTGCCTCTGGCCATGTGTTTGTCTACAATAATCACCCGGGGGTGGCCATGGTCACCCGAAACCTAAATAATAAAAAGGAACTATGGATTATTTTGTTTCCCTAGTGGAACCATAGAAGAGACACGGTAGAAAGCTTCCCGGTGAAAATGTAGTGATTGACATAGATATTTTCTGCTTTTAATTTTTATTTGTGGCTTCATTTATGAAGGTACGCTCATTAAGTTCATGTTTGCATGGCAATAAGGATGTGCAGTGAAATGTCTCTTTTAGGATTTCACCTTCTCTGAGTTTTATTTTTTATCAACGATTATAAACTTTTACATGTAACCCCTAGGTTTACATATACAGTATAGTCCTAGTTACTTGCACGTCGCGGAAACTCGTCTAACTACTTGTCGGAATGTGAAGTGAAATGAATGTACTGTTAGCAACGTTTATTTCTGGATTAGCAGTCGTACTGCAGACACTTATGTGAGCTTCTCAAACAAAGTTGGTTGGTTATTCCCTTTTTTGTTCCATCCCTCCTCCACAAATATAACTTTTCTGCTGGCACTGCTGATTACCAGCCCACTGATCATGTTCTCCCTGCTGTATTGTCCGCTGCAGACGGATGGAACCGGCCAGGTCGAGGCAGGCAGTCAGTGTGGAGTGCGGCCTGGGGGCGCGGCAGTGGGAGGAGCCTCTGGGGGCGAGGGGTCAGAAGCCAAAGGCACACCCAAGCGTCTCCACGTCTCAAACATCCCGTTCCGCTTCCGGGACCCCGACCTCAGGCAGATGTTTGGGGTGAGAGCCGCCACCCGCCCTCCCCCGAAGCTGTCGTTACTGGGGCATCCCAGAGGGTCGGGGACTTGGAACAGATGTAGCCCAGCTGTCATCTTTTTATCTTTTTTTTTTGGGAGGGGGGTTAAAAGATGGAAGATTCTTTACAAATGAGCATTCATCAGTATTGATATCTGCAGTAAATTGATCAATGATGAGAGATTAACTAAAATAAGACACAACCTACAATATGTAACTAACGTTCTTGACATTATATTTCTTCCTAAAAGTAAGTTATAAAAGGAATTCTCTGTTTTAACAAAAGTCTTTTTTTTTTTCTTTTTAGCAATTTGGAAAAATCCTCGATGTGGAAATCATCTTTAACGAGAGAGGGTCGAAGGTAAGCTGCTGTCGGCTGGTGACGCGTATGGGCACAGCGCCCCCTATCGCATGCCCGCAGTCCCAAGACCTTGATGCTTGTCTGTGGTTTATCAGAGCTGCGAAGGACGGCTTGATGATGCGATGGGCAGTGTGCTGAGCTGGACGCTGAGTCAGCACATCTGCATGGTGTTTCTTTTCAATACGAAGGTGTCGGCGTATCACATTGTGTGTGGTCTGGGCCGGAGTGTGTGTGTGGTCCTCCTAAAATGACACCAACAAATTAATAGACTGAATAAAACCATGATGACCGCTAGAAATGCTGGACAGAGAGGACGCCTGCATTCTCCACCCTGGCCTATAGGGGGCCTCGGTGTCACTTTTTAACTCTGTATTTATAAAATGTCACTTTGAACAGTGAGCTAAAGACGGCTGGGAACATGGGTGATGCGAGAAGTTTTGGGCCCCATGAAGGCATAGCATATCGGGCCCCCAAGACAGACCAATCCATTTATGTTCCAAATCTATTAGGGCCCCCCTTCATTCTGCCCCCCCCCCGGCTGCAGTGCCCCCAAGTCGTGTGGCTCAGTATTTTTGGGGGGGGGACTGCACCCCCTGCCATGGTCCTGCTCTCTCTTGGAATACTGTCATAATTCTCCTAGTGCCCTGCTCTCTCCTCTAACCCCGCACCTAAATTCCCTTCCTGTCCCGTCCCGTCCCCCCGTCCCCCCCCCCCACAGGGGTTTGGCTTTGTGACATTCGAGTCCAGTGCTGATGCGGAGAAGGCTCGTGAAAAGCTACATGGGACCCTGGTGGAGGGTCGCAAGATCGAGGTAATTTCCCCGAATGTCACCACAGTGTCACTCTTTCACTATGGACACGTTTACCAGTTTTAACTCTGATGTCATGCTGGAATCGGTACACGTGATACGTACGCCGCTTTTCTATTTTGTCCGAGCGTGTCGGTCCTGCTTAACTGTGGGAATGGCACCAGAGCATGCTGGGATGGACACCGCCCCCCCCCCCCACCACTATCACCACCACCACCCTCCCCAATTTAATTTTGCTATGGATATCAGCATCGGGTACTAAGCATGCTAGGGAACGTGTCAATGTTGAGGGCATGGCTGATTGGACACAGGGAAATCTTCGGCGCGTCAATGCTGGAAAACTGAAGGGAATTAGCATGCTGCAGGAAATGCGATGTGCATGCTTTACTGGAGTCCGTCCTTACTGTGCAATTCAACAGACCCCCTCCCCACCTTAATACAACCCACCTTAATATCCCTCTGGTATCTGCTGTTACTTTTCAGCTGGAGGTGTTGTGGTTCATGGTTCCTTAGTGCAATAAAGGGTCTGTTATCTTCCCCCTCTGCTGCAGTGACGCATGTTTTAATGCTCTTATAGACATGCTGTGGTTTGTCTGCCTCTGGCTATTACTGCTGCAGTCCTACCACAGAAATGGCAATTGTGCATGGGGTTTTTGAGCATTGTTAGGCTGTGTTTTATTGGTATTTTTCAGTCTTGTTATATTGGCATGGATCTGGTTTTCTTTTCTCTCTTTTTTTTTTTTTTTGGTCTGTCTGTCTGTTTTATTTCCTTACTGTTTTTAAGTATCCTCTTGACGTTCACTGGGTCCTGACCCGTCCAGCTCTGCTGGAGTTGCTCTCTCGATTCATGGGGTCGAACGGCCGAGGTGTGCGGGGCTGTCCGTTTGGCCCGCCAGCCGAATTGCGGGGAATGTTCCAGATTGCGGTCATTTGCGCAGAGGAAAGACGTCAAAGCCTTTTCTTCCCCTCCACCAGTAGCTGCTTTATTGTCAGCATTGTTAGTCAATGCTGGGGTCTGAGGGGAATTACCCACAATCCCCAGGATGCTGGGGTCTGAGGGGAATTACCCACAATCCCCAGGATGCTTCTTTGCTTTTGTGGAGCTAGTAAAAGCGACTTGTATGAAATTCAAGAGATCGATAGAAACACAAACGCAGCATATTTATCAACCTGCTTTTTTTCAGGGAATATTGCATATTTTACCCGCACTGTGTCACCCTGTACAGTATTAGGAGGGCATGAATCAAAGGTTGCCATCACTGCATGGATTAATACACCTTATCTGCAGTATGCCTATTAGTTAAGTAAATAGAATTTTATATCTATATTATAATAGGCCTACATTTTTCCAACATTCAAGTTAAATTTTTTCCTCTATTTTTGCCATCTGCAAAATTGCATCTCAAATCCTGCCTCCCTGACCTAATTTTAAAAAATTTCGGCTTATGAAATAGATCCAGTGCACACTTCTGTCGGAAGTGCAAACTTTTTTTTTCCCACCAGTGTGACTCCGCGGATTTCCATGGCAACAGCTCCCGTGCGCAGGAAATCCCGCGATCTGCGATGCATCGAGTGGAAACGCAGAAACCGACAGCTCAGTTGTCAGGCTTCGCTCCGCATGTTTAGGTGACTGTCTGCATGTAGGGGGTGATCTCCACATCTTGGGGAATGTCAGGACACGCCTGACCTTAAACTACCTCAGGGAAAAAAAAACTTTGTCAAGAGTTTGAATTCCTTGATCCAATCTTGTCCTAATGTAACTGTGTTCTAGTCCTTTCACTTGGATGAAATTTGTAATAAGGCTTTCAGCTGAGTCGTTCTTACCCTTTTTTCTGTGTCATGTCTGCATGGGAAGCCTACTATTCTACAGGTGGCTGTTAAGTTGTTTTTTTTGGTCGCGATGCATGTGCCGCGATTTAACTTGAGTCGACGTGGGAGACTTTGCAGTGTCGGCGCTTATAAACGGATACACGCCTCCCCCCCTCCCCCCCTGCGTCTTTCTGACCATGCTGTGTGTCCTTGACTGGTCGCTTATGCATTGCATGGCATTGTGGCGGTGTTGTTTTTTTTTATTATTTCGGGGGTCCGATAATGTTTGACCGCTGCCTTCACTACACTGCGCTCTGTTCCGCCATCCCTCCCCCTCTCAGATTTCTGCATCTTCTGTGTCCTCCTCAAATAACTGGCAGGTGTTTTTTTTTTATTTTTATAAATGTCTGTTGGTTGATTATTTATGTTTGTTCATGTGTTAGACGCAGCGATGAGGGGGTGTGCTGGTGTGCGGCCACGCTGTCTTTCTGAACATGCATGGACTCTGGGTTTTGTACAGATTACCCTCTGTAGCCAGTGACCCGTTGTGTTCCATTTAAGCTCGCTCGTCTGTCCGCTGAAAACGCCGCGCTTTGAAGAAATCCCCACATCCCTTACGCTTTCAAACGGAACTGATAAAATGTACCAATGTAAGTGGACGAATCTGTTTTGTGAGCTCTCTTTTTAAGTGTCTGTGTTAGTGGCGTCCACCCTCCTTCCCATCTGTTGGCGTGCTGTGTGTGTCCACCCCTTCTGCGTGGCTGCCATCGCCCCCTTTAGTCCGTGTTTGTCGGGATGGGATCAAGCCTTCGCACCGTTTTATTTCGGTTTTTAATTTTGTTTTCTTTGTTTCGTTTGTGGTTTGGTTTTTTTATATAGCGGAAATGTATCGTTTGCATACTGGCTCGTCGCTGCTGCATGTTGTTCAGAGCAGATAGCAGCGCAGACTAAACGCGCCACCTCACTACGGTTACACGTGGGAACGTATGTAAACTAATGCTGACTTGCGTGTGGACCTTCATCTTTTTATCGGCTTATTCTATCTATAATTCTGCTTGGCTAATTATGAACAATTTTGGTGATGGGGGCTCTGTTATCCTAAACTACTGTCATTTATGATTCATAAATAAAAACACAATCACGTCTAATTGTTTGACAGTGGAGCTTAATGTTCGCCCGAACTTTAATTGCGAATTGCAATAGTAAACGGATCACATCGGCATCGTCTCGCATGGCGCTCTCTTATGGCCGGAGCCAGAGCTCTTCCTCGGGTTATGGTTGGCCGCTGAAATGGTCACTCTTTCTTGCATGCATGGTTTTTGCAAGCTGGTTTGAGTGCATGCGCATACAAGGGAGGAAGACCAAAAGAGCGACAGTGATCTCAAACCCTTTATCTTTGCTTCTGTGCGTTTTCCATGGGCTTTCCCCGCCGTATGGACAATATTGTCCCCGTCTCCTGTTACATGGCCCACCTTCATGCCCTGTTAGTGTCCCCTGGAACTTCCTGTACCTTTCCTGTTGGCTGTCTGCTTTTGTCTCCTGTCATTACCTGTATTTCGCTGCACTGAATAAGATCAACATAACATAGACAAATTCACGATTTATTTGATTGAAATTAAAGTAATGAATTAACTCTACGGATGGATGTTGCCACCTGGTGTTGTCAAGAGGCATTGCATTTTAATAGTGACGGCGTTTTGCATACAGTTTATTCAATGTGTAGAGTATTTATTGTTAAGAAATTACATTTGTAGAATTATTTGATGTCAAATAACATGGGAACTTTTTATTTTGCAAAAATATTAACTGTATTTATTAACTGGTTGTAAACCCAAAGAGATTTTTGATTAACACATTTACATTCGGTCTAGCATTACTACCATACAAGGTACAATAGTATTATTAATAGTATTATTTTATATATTTAAGGCACTTTTAGTCTCTAACACTTTTAGTACAAGCTATATATGAGTTTCTGTCTTATAATTTTCTAATTAAATAATTAATATTATGCTAATATAACCTTGCAGTGTAATTACATAAAAACTGTACAGACTGTGTTGTACTCTTGAAGACTTGGCCTCACACCTTCTATGATTAATGAATCTATCATATCTCTGTCAGATTTTATAATATTTGTCCCAAGTGACCAACCTTAAAACTGGTGAAAAATTTCTCCCCTCATTACAAGTTATAGATTTTTAAAATTAATAATATTTCTCTCCCCTGTCTTTCTTCTGCTGTCTCTCCGTTTCTGTGTAAGCTAATAGAGTTGATGTGGTAAACCCTCCCTACCTGGTTGTTTTGTGTGTGTGTGTCTGTGTCTGTCGGCTGTTGGTCCACGTGCTGCCCCTGTGTCTTACCTGTCTGTGATGTTCCGCGTGTGTGATGTGAGTTGACGGGCTAAGTTGGCCACATCCTTCTCCCAGTCTCTGTTTCTGCCGTCTTTCCCCTAGCTTGTTTCTCTCTTCTTTCCCCTGTGTGTTCTTCTCATTCTTAGGCAGTTCGGACCGAATGCAACGTAACCAGCTTGTGTACCGGTTCCAAGATCTCAACCTTTTTCCGAAATTGATTTTTTAATTTTAAAATTTGCAATTTTCCTCGTCTCCATTTCTGTTTTCTGTGGTAGTAGTTCTATTTATTTGTTTTAGATGTTTGTTTTTACTATTTTGTGTTACTTTTTTTTTCTGTTTCCCTGACGACGTCTGTGTGTGTTGTTGTCAGTTTCCACGGTAACCGCTCACGTATCCTCTGGCCGTTTCCTCAGCATGGGTAAGTTGTATATATATGGCACCATCACTGCCTGACCCCCCCACTTGCCTAAAAATGTAGCAAAATGCATTAAAACAAAAATATGCATCTTGATAAAAGCAGTCTGTAGTAGTTAGGAGTAGATGACTGTTGCAATGTTTGATCAACAGTATTGAGAGCTTTAAAACAACTAGACAAACCTTTACTCTGTCTCACTTTACAGTGCTTATGGGTAACTTTGCCAGAGTGTCTTATTCATAAAAATAGCGCTCCCCGGAATAGCGCTGCATTCTGTATGTCCCATGGTGTCACTCTGCACTGTACGCTGGAGTACAGGGACCCCATGACCTGTATGCACGCATTTGGCAGAACGGAAGGTGCCGGAAACATGGCCGGGTGTGATTACTGACACCTCAAGCGCTCAAATGGCACCTTTTAGGGCCTCGTAAGTGTGGAAGAATCGTGGGATGGTTAACAGATCTAAAAAGCACGGCCTGTAGGATGGACTAGGGACATTTTAAAGGGAGAGGAAAGGTGAGCTCAGAAAATGTACAAGATCGTGGGCTTTGCTCATCAAATTGACCGAACTGCAAACCCCAAGATGGGGTTGTTGCTCCTGGTCTCTCTCCCTCAGCGATTTGAAGGCTTTGACCTTGATCGAGTTGAGGGGGTGGCTCTGTGGGCCTTGTTCCCACCCCATGACATTCACCCCCTCCCTGCCTGTCATGCAGATGTTTGATATCAGGCCACTATTTAGTCAAATAATCTGTCTGTTTCAATCGCAAAATGATCAGTTCCATAAATGACCATCGTTTCATATTTGGGGAGGTGACATGACTTAATAATTTAAATACAGAGGTCTGTTTATTGGGGGGGGGGTTGAATAAATCCAAATTAAATATTGGGGGTGCACCCCCCCCCCTCCTGCCTCTGGTTATAACAACCTTTTTCTTACCAAATGGCAGACAGTTTGGAGGAAAGTTAATTACTACTTTTTCTGATTTCCCTTCCTGTATTTTTTTAATTATTAGGCAGGAGACAAACCGTGCTTTGTTTGGAAGCTCTTCCTATATCCCTCTTTTGTCCTGTTTGTGCCCCCTGGTTTGGTTTTGGTTTGGACATGAATAGTTTGTCTCATTATTAGTGGCTGCCATTGTTTTCTCCCTGTCGCATTTATTTTGGGGTGCCTCTCTTTCTCTCCATCATCCCCCTCTTTTCGGTGCTTTGAAATGTCTTTCATCCGAGAGCCATTACTAATTTGAATAAACTTTTTCTTTGGTGTGCACCTTTAGAGAGCCCCTGATCTGTTCGGTGCTTTGCTTGTCTGAATGAAAACACATCCCCCATGTAATTTCTGTGCCTGGTGTGGAGAATGTGGGCCTTGTCAGTCTCTCCCCTGCATCCGCACCACACACACACACACACACACACACACACACAAACTTGCGCATTTGCGCACCGTGTTCCTTTCTGTGTATTTTCAACTTCTCACCCTGCTGCACCTGCTGCTTGCTGATTGGCTGATCTCCGGCCCGTTACTCTCGCTCAGCTATGCGATGTGCCTGTCTGCATCATTTGCTGATGATGGGTTTTTTTTTGTGGTATGCTAAACATATGGGTCTCCCCTTCTCTCCCGTGTCCTGACCCCCCTCACAGGCAGCAGCTGGTTGTTTTTATATGATCTCTACTGCTCTGTCAAGAACTTTTCATAGGTTGTTTTAACCTGTGAATAACTGGTTATGTTTGAAGGTTATTTTCTTCCCTTTGTACCCACCTCCCGCATGCCTGGTTTCTAACAGGAACTGCTCTGTGCGTTTATGCCTTTATGATTCTGCTTTGATGTATTATTTTGGTGCCTGTGGTGATTATGCTTTTGTATGAAAAGATGCGAGTGAATGAAAGATCGGATTTATTTTATGCAATGTAATGCCACACCTGATCTGGCTTCGGCACATTTTAATTCAGTAACTCGCTCTGAAATGCAGTTTCATTTCTTTTTTGTTGTTGCTGTGTTATTACAAAAGAGGAAGAGGTCACGTGCAGTCAGATTTGGTTGACCACCCACATCTTACCGAACTTTTGTCCTACTTGGCAAGACAAACCTCAGTCAGATGTTTTTTGTTTTTTTTCCTCAGTAAGCTGAAGATGCCCCTTTGAAAATGAGGTCTTTCCATTTGAATGACCTTCCTCGTTAATATGGCGTCTTGACGTGATACATTTAGGATGAAAAGAGGGGCCTGGATGCCTGCGATTGGCTGAAGGGCAAACTGCTGTATCTGTATTCCTGCCCCCAGTCAAATATAATGATTGACATCATTCAGAATCTTCACCCCTCTGTCTGAGGTCATCACCACTATGTTCCATGCCTAACCACCCCAGCCCAGTAGGTGGCGATATGTGAAATGGGCAGCTGGCCGGCCACAGCCCCCCGACCGCATGCTATTGTCTTTGCAGACCAAACATGTTTGCTTTCTCTTCATGACCGCATGCATGTACATGACATAGCAATGTTGTTAAAAAGGGGCCTCAGAAGGCAGTAGAGGCTATTGCCGGGATTAACGCCGGCGTTTGTATTTAATGTCTGTTTGCCGTTGGTCTCTGGTTTGTCGGGGTCGTTCCCTGGACCCTCGGCTTGTCTTTTAATGTGCCTGATGCTCTGTGGTGATTGGCTGGATGTCTGTGCTGTGAGTCTTTCCCTCTTTACCTCCCGTTCATCCCCTCATCTCTCGCTCCTCTCTCTCCGTCTCCCTCTCCTCCAGGTGAATAATGCCACTGCCCGGGTGATGACCAATAAGAAGCTAGTCAGCCCGTACACCAACGGGGAGGGGCTGGGCTCGCTGCCATATGGTAAACGCCGGTCTCATGGCTGATGTAGAATGGGGGGGGGGTTTATCTCCAGGGTCTTGAGAGAGAGTGTGGGGGAACGGAGGTGTGCGTGTTTGCCGTGTAGCGGCTTTCCACCCCCCCGCTGTTAATCGCACACCTCTCCTGGCGGCCCGTCTCACCGGTTCCGCTCTGCCTCCCCGTCTCTCAGCAGGCTGGAAGCTGAGCCCCATGGTGGGGGCCGTCTACGGGCCCGAGCTCTACGCGGGTGAGCTGCCGCCTCCGTCTCTCCTCATTAATTTCCTTGCCCCCACACCCCACAAAGCTGCCTTGTTAAACTTGGAGCAGTTGTCATGTTAGCCTAGCAAGGGTGAAAATTCAAGAAATGCAAATATGTTTTGAACCACAGGCCTTTTCTGGGATGACACACTCACGACGGTCGCACGGCACATATTCACCCCCCAGATTTATTTCTAGAGCGATTATTTGCCCCCGTTCACTGACTTTGACATTTGTTTTGTACTTGCGCACTTCGTATACGTCATAGAATCAATGAATCCGTTGTTATTATTGTTGTTGTCGTTGCTGTCGCCGTCGTCTTATTGATCTTAGCGAGTCTTAGTAGTCTTAGGTCATATCTGTTCATTCGCCCCTCCAGTACCCGGGTTCCCGTACCCCGCTACCACGGCAGCTGCCTTCCGTGGGGCTCACCTGAGGGGTCGGGGTCGCCCCGTGTACGGCGCCGTCCGCGCCGCCGTCCCCCAGCCCGCCATCCCCGCGTATCCAGGGTGAGTGTCGGTGTCGCAGATTTACATGCATGCCGGGTAGATTTAACCCCGCAAACTGCGTGACGTGTCCGTAAGTGATGTGATTGGCTGCCGTGCTCTGGAGGACCGTACCACTTCCATGCTCGACGAGGCCAGCGACAGCCCCACACTGTCGTTTCCTTGGCGATGCTGATATTCCTCACTGCGAATGCGGGTCCTTTGGGGCCATCTGTCACTGGCTGGGGTCCGGCCAGTGCTGGGTAGTGGGAGATGCCTCAGGGCATTATGGGAGTTGCAGGGTGTCGTGCTTATGGAAGTTGTATCTGTTTGTGCATGCTGCATGTGTGTGAAATAACACTCTCTCTCTCTCTCTCCCTCCCTCCCTTCCTTCCCACCTCACTGCTGTTTCCTTTGTACCACATCTTATTTTCCCCACTCTCTTTTTTGCTGCATTCTGACTTCTATTCTTTCTTCTCATCCTCCCTTCCGCTTCTTCATCTTATTGGCATTTAAAAATTTTCTTCTGTCTGTGCCCATCCATCACTGCTGCTCATTTGTCCTCTCTCTCTCTCTCTCCCTCTCCCTCCATTTCTCTCTCACCCTCCTCTGTGCCTCCTTTCCCATCTGCGCCTGTGCCCCCCNCCCCCCCCCCCCCCGCTCTCTCAGTGTGGTGTATCAGGATGGGTTTTATGGAGCCGCAGAACTATATGTAAGTAAAGTCTCGCTCTTCCCTCCCCCCCGTGATCACACTCTCCCTCTCTGCCTCACAGTGTTCCGTGTGTGTGCGTGTGCATAAACTGCATAGAGCTGCATACTTGTGAATGATATAGCATATATACAGGGTTTTATCCCAATATTACTAAATGGCATGTGAATTTTTAGAATTTACATCTATAGAAATGACCCAGTGTCTCGATACATCTATTTTTATGGCTTGTAATGGGATTTTCCACTGTAGTTTCAACTAATATGAAAATAAATGTGCTTTTAAGATGCCTTAGATTCATATGAATTTTATCCTCAAAGATGTAGTGATTCATCTAGATGTTTAAGTAACATTGTGAGTGTTAGGCTCCATGCAGGCATTACGCCGGACAGCCCATCCTGCGGCCAACACGTCCGTATCAGATCTATACATTCATAACTGAGCCGCTCTATGCGTGTCTATTTGTGTGTGTGCGTGTGTTTGTGCGTGTGTGCGTGTCCAGGTTGACAATAGCTGTTTCTGTTTTCTCTGTAGAATAGTGTTTCAGGACACTGTCCTTAGTGCCAGATTGCCTCAGGTAGGGTCGGTATAAAATCCAGTATGCATTTATTACCGTCGATTATTGTTTTGATATTGATCATTTTTAAATTGTGATGGCATTTCTGTACTAACTCACTGGAATCTGACACTGGCGGAATTGGGGAAGGGGTTATGCTGTCATCATCATCCCCATCATTTTCACCTTCATCATTTTATAATAGAAACACACTAGTGTAGTAACTTTTAAACTAAGGTCTTATCACATGTAATATAAATGGAAAGGAGCTGTACTTTAAGGTATATGAATTTCATTTGGGAAATTTGACATTAGGCCTGAAAGTCTTATAGTCTGACAGCCTGTCTTTCGGTCTTGCTCGTAAGAACATATCGAACTGTTTTTTTACGCAACATTAAGTGCATGGCTTGCGGCAGTTTGCGTCAATAGCATTTCAGGCGTGCACCCCATAATCAGTGCTGACAGATATCTGCAAACGCTCTGTGAACTTTTGGGTTTGTTACTGAGAAATAGCTGGAAAGGCTGTAATCAGTAAGAGTCAGGGGTAGGGGGGCAGGCTATGAAATTGGCTTTCAGTCCCATTTATTCTGGTGAATAAATGTTCAGTATTTTGTAGGAAGAGTGGGGGGTCGACCCCCTACAGAATCTGTTGGTAGAGTTTTGTTTCCCTGCGTCTCTCTGGCCCGGGGCGGTTCAGCTGGTCACGTTAACCTGCCTGCCCGGGCAAGAGCGGCGCATGTTTTAGCGGGACTCACAGGCCCAGCTGCACCGCGCCTGTCGCATTAGGGTGGGATTCTCAGGCCCAGCTGCAATGCGTCTGTCGCATTAGGGTGGGATTCTCAGGCCCAGCTGCAATGCGTCTGTCGCATNGCATTAGGGTGGGATTCTCAGGCCCAGCTGCAATGCGTCTGTCGCATTAGGGTGGGATTCTCAGGCCCAGCTGCAATGCGTCTGTCGCATTAGGGCAGGACTCGCAAGTCCAACTGCACTGCACCTGTCACACTAGGATGGGACTTGCAGGCCCAGCTGCACTGCATCTCTCGCATTAGGGTGGAACTCACAGGCCCAGGTGCACTGCATCTGCTGCTTTAGGGTGGGATTCGCAGGCCTAGCTGCACTGCATCTGCTGCACTAGGGTGGGACTCGCAGGCCCAGCTGCACTTCATCTGTCCCATTAGGGGACGACTCACTGGCCTAGCTGCACTGCATCTGTCGCATTAGGGCTACATCTGCTGCACTAAGGCGGGACTCGCAGGCCCAGCTGCACTGCATCTGTCGCATTAGGGTTACATCTGCTGCACTAAGGCGGGACTCGCAGGCCCAGCTGCATTTTGTCTGTCATATTAGGGCGGGACTCGCAGGCTCTGCTGCACCACGTCTGTCGCATTAGGGCTGTCAGGACCCACCAGCACAGCTAGGACCTCATCCCTAACCCCTTCCCAATATCTCGCTCTATTGGTTCGCTTCACCTGTGGCATGCTGAAATGAAATCAATGTGAGCATGCTGACACCCATACCCCACCCTTCTACCCCATCCCCTCCCCCCAATTTTACCCTCTTTCCATCTCGCTCCCTCTGCATCCCTCCCTCCCTCGCCTTAATTCTGCTACCTTTTACCTGTCTACCCGAATTCTCATTTCCTTTTGGTTTCTCCAAAATGTCCTCCTCTTCTTCCTCCCCTACTCTACCCACTTCTCATCTCTTGGACCCCCCCCCCCCCCCCACAGGCATATGGAGGAATGCTGGGAGTCGTAGTTAATTAGGGTAGAATGCAGTGGTGTGTTTGATTGGGATTGCCTCTCTCTCTCTTTTTTTCTTAATTTGGGATGCATGCTGTCTTTCTGTTGTGGCCACGTTTCTGTTCGTCCATCTCTGTCTGTCTCTGTCCGATCGTCTTTTGGCACAGAAAAATGTCCTGTTTAATTTATGCATTTGGGAAGATAACACGGGGGGTAATTTACACCGTTGGCTTTATTTATTCATCGTCCTGTGTGTCTTGGGGGCTTTTGCCATGAAACAGCCCTGTTACATTCTCCTTATGTCGTGTCTCTTGTCAATGTCTCAGTCCCCTGTCATTTATTCCCCTCTTTTTGTTGTTTATCTCTTGCTTCGCTTGGTCTCATGACGTCTTTCCTCTCGCTGCTTTAGCCCCAGTCCTGAAGAGCCGTGGGTCGGACTGCGGGTTCTGTCCGCGGGTTCTCACACGCGGTTCTTTATCGCTCTGCTACATTTATAAATGAAGTACCGCGGCTCTCCGGGACTGGCGCTAATGAGCCCGACGTTGCGTGCTAAGCGGCGTCTTCCCCCCCCCCCCCAGTACAGTTTGCCCACCATGCTGACCTCCTCGCTCTCCTTCTGGCAGGGGGGGTACACGGCTTATCGCTACGCCCAGCCCGCCGCCGTAGCTGGAGCGACGGCTGCCGCAGCCGCTGCCGCCGCTTACAGCGACAGGTGAGGGCCACAGACACATGGGATTCCAGTCCTGAACAGTATGTTCCTCTCCCCTTCTGCGGGGTAGTATACGATGGTGAGGTCACAGGGGGCAATGGCCCCAGCTGAAAGCTGATTGGTCCCCAGAGTGCACCATGCCCTGTCACTCACCAATACGAAACATATGATTGGCTAATGAAAAGGTTGGCCCCTCTGTATGAATTATGGCCTCTATCTCCGCTATCTCTTATGCCTCCCGCTTTAAAAATTCTAGAATCGCCCTTATCCTCCTCTGATGCGACTTCTACCTTAAGATAGACACTAGGCCTTTATTACTGTCTCCAAACTGTGCGTCTCCTTTAATTCCTGTGTTCTCGAGATGTGACATCATTTTAATTGAAAAGCAGGAAGCCGTAGTCAAAGCAAGTTTAATAGCTGGTGTCTATGCCGCATTTGCTCCCGCCTGGCGCCTGACGGTGCCGTCTCTGTCTCCGTCCCCTAAGTTACGGCCGAGTGTATGCCGCGGACCCCTACCACGCCCTGGCCCCTGCCGCAGCCGCCGCGTACGGAGTGGGCGCCATGGTAAGAGTTACTCTACCGAGGCAGTCACATGAACAGAAAGACCACTGCTATCGCGTGTAATTAATCTGTAGTTCTTTCCCTCCATTTTCTCACTGTTAGGGATCGTGGCTAAATTGTATGACAGGAATAAAATGAAAACTGTGCTATTTCCTCACTCTTCTCTCTGTCTCTTGCAGGCCAGTTTGTACCGGGGCGGATACAGTAGATTTGCCCCTTACTGAATGACCTCGACGTCTCTGACCCCCCACGCCCCCCTCCCCCCTTCTGTAGTTCAGGAATCAAATCTCCATCTGTCTCCCCGGAAAGGTGTTGTCTGTTAGAGGCACAGCCCGCAAAGAAAAAAGGCGTCAAATGTAATTGTCAGTTACACCTCCAAACCATGATATTACAGGAAATCAACCATCCAGAAACTGCTGGGACGTACCAGGACAGCCACTGGCAGAGGCTCTGGACTTGACAGGCTGTGGATAAACAGAATGGCCACCGTCAGGCCCTGCGGTCATGCTGTTCAGCTCCATTAACACCATCCTTTAAGAGTAGAACATCTAGAATCAACCAATGCACAGTTGCAAATTACACTCTTTTTTTCCCCAATATATCAGCTTTTTTTTGTCAGTTTGGTGTTAAGCGCACACCTCTTTGGAAGGTACCACTTTGGGTGAATTTTTTAGGGGGGGTGCAACCGAGTTAATAGGGCACAGATATTCAAGCTCATATTGAAGTGGAGCAACTTTAAAGAAAACTTTACAATGATCAGCTGCGGAAAAACACAAAACACAAACGCAAAACTGACAATGGGAAAAGAAATGCAAAAATGACTCTTTTGATATGCATTACCTCATTCGGGTTTTTGTCTATGGGGAAAATTAGTAGTCGAATAATAGTTACTACAAAAGGCATTAACATAAATTAGATGCGTCACACCGCTCGTCTTGCGTTTTAACAAACTTATTGTTACTGTTATTATAATGATTATTATGATTATTATTTACAATTTTCTCCTGTGAAATATTCCTCTTTGTTCCTGAGTATCTGTACCACAGTTATGAATATAATTGCTGTCTCTCTTATATTCTGTTGGCATGAGTGTTCGGTCTGTACGATGCATTACTCAGCACAAGCGAACCTTGTAAATATGCGGTGGTCCCTGTGACTTACGGACATGACGACACGCCCCCAGAGCGCGGATGGGAGTGCATGCGTGGGGTTAGGGTTCTGTGGGTGGGTGGGCAGGGGGGGGGGGGGGGGAGGCCACAGAGAGATGCTACCTACCACGACCTGTGCTGGGTTACACTGCGCCATCAGGGCAAAACGGCATCAACGTTTTGTTTTGCCTGGGAAACGTCAGGGGCGCTGAACAGCCCCGGATTGGGCTCTGTCTGGTCATGTGACATGACCTTTTTAAACACAGAGGTTATTTTTGTTAATGGATTGTTACCTCTCTCCTCTCTAAGTCCAACAACCCGCTTCCCAAGCTGGTTCCCCATTCTCTAGCTTTGTGAGAGTAGTTATCTATGGAAGACACAGCCAATTCCTTACTATTATTTGTCTTTTTTAATTTTTAATAAAGTTGGCAATTGTGGGGTAACATGAGGAGATCTGGACAGTGACAGAAAGATGTTACAATGTATAAATTCTGGTTGTAGAATCGCTGAAGCTTAATTCCATATCTTCTAAATTGTATGTTTTTGTTTTTTTTTTTGATTCCAAAGATTCTTCAAAAGCACATTTCTGGCCACACGTAAACGTGTTATACTGTATATTATTGTTGCTGTTATTATTATTGCTGTTATTATTATGGATGTTTTGATGTTACGTTATTTTTTTATATTTTTTTCCTTTTTTTGTGTGTTGCCTTTTCAGAGAGGTTCATTTAGATGCGACTTTTTAACTGTAGTCAAGGATTAATACTTTAGACGGGGTTCTCAATGCTAGCAGATGACTAAAGGCAAAATGAATTACGTAACCGCAATCTTTAGGAGGAATATCGACAATAAAAGCTCAATTTCATTCTACATTATATTTTTTGAGTTTGAAACATTGATTTTTACCCTTGTTTAGGCCGTCTTCCTTTTCGTTGTAATTGAGGTGGTCGACCTTATGAAATTGAAATGTGTCATTGTTTCATGCGGTGAATAACAGGTCAAGTGGTGAAGATGGGACACTTTTTCCCTTTTCGTGGCAATGAGCCGTGTTTAAACTAATTTAATTACCTGCCGGATAAAAGCTTCTCTGGAAAGCACACTTTTCCCCTCCTCTCGTTTGTATTTGGCAATGAGTCTGGTTCTTTATAATACACTGATTGGGTTCTTTGTCAGGCCAAACCACTGAACATTTTACTGGAGATTGGAGGGGGGGGAGCCTCTGATTCTATACGTGTGGCACAAAGGTGAAAGGTCAAGGGTGAAAGGCTGAAGCAATATAATTGGTTACTGATGTGTCTGGGATCATTCCGCTAATGAAGTGCTGTTACCTTTTTAAGAGTATTTTTAGTAAAACGTTAAGAGTTGGCATATATCAAAGTTTGGTTAGATGTGAGGTTGTATACCAGACATGTGCATATTATAAATGTACAAAAAAAAAAAAAGAATCGCCCTGGGGTGTAAACAAAATGTTCATATTGCGATAAGTTATGGGCGTATCCCCATTTTGGCTATCGCGTGGAGGGTGCAGCAACATCTCATTTTGTGTCTTTGTTCATTCGTTTGGCACAGAACATGTGACACGTACTCATGCATTCACCAGTCATGCTGTACGTTGTGCGTAGCATGACAAACGGGCACAAATCCTGTATGAAAACATGCCACGTGATCTCAGATGCAGGGCGTGCTTTTTTTTTTTTTTTTATTCCCCATTAAGAATGTCATTGTCTTTGTTTCTTTCCCTTGGTTTACAGTGAGTGATATTGTGTATTTTCTCATATTTCTTTCGTTATGTCTCTTTTTTTTTTGGTCTGTTTTCTATTAAATGTACATAAAGGTTTTTTTTATATCTTGTCAGCTGTTTATATTGACAGACATCGCAAATGATCATGTGCTTCACCTAAACGACTGTGTATGGGGAAACTGGTTGCAGTTGGAAACATTGAAATATTTGCCTTTAGTGAAAAAACAGGAAAATCGTAGACTTTTCCGAGAGTAGTGGATCAATTAATAAGCAATGGGCGCAACATCCCTCTCATTGCAACGTAATGTTGTTTAAAACAGCAGGGAGCGGTCGCTTAACTGGTCTCTGTTAAATGAAAAACAGTTTTTCTATAAAACGAGAGAATCCTTTGTAACAGCTGTCGGGACGATAACTAAAGCACATGGTTTATCTTAGAGCTTCACTGCAGAGAAATATCTGCTCAGTGGCGTCGATCTAGTTAAGCACTGCTGCAACAAAAATGCGGCGCTTTAGGGACCCCGTACCGCACGCGTGATTTCAGAATCAAAGGACAATTAGAAAATCATTAATAAAAAGAAGCACGACATCTAGGGAACGTCTTCGGCAGCCGTCATTAACTAAATAAATCTAAATAACTCAATCTCCCGTAGATGCCACCTATTTCACAGCTTGCTGTTTATGACAACCATAACAAAAACTGCCCCTTATAAGTCGCCGTTTCATAAAAGATCGACATCGACACAATTGCAGATGGACATTTACATACTGGTTTGGGCTTTTTCTTCTGCAGAACTCCACAGAACTTTGAGTAGTCTGACATTTTAACTCCCTTTGTATATAATGATGTCAAATGCTTCTGTTTATTATTTGTTCGTTACAGCTGGGACTTTGGTGGTTTATTAGGTAGCACTGTGATATTTTTCATGCTCTCTGCGGCGTCCTGGCAGCCTGTCCTGTACGCCGGCCCCACGTCCCCTAAGCTCCCTGTCATGATTCCGGACATCGGGTATGTGAAGCGAATAGACGTTTAGTGTAACGTTTCTGAATATTTCGAATACATTTGCTCCATGTGCGTTTAAATGGTGTGTGAGTGCGCCCTGCGATGGGTTGGCGCCCCCTCCTGGGTTGTTCCCAACCTTGCGCCCGTAGCTCCGAACCCCCTGCGATCCTGAATAAGACAAGCAGAGTTACTGAAGATGGATGGATGGATGGATGGGCGCGCGGACATGTGCGTTTACCTGCATGCAGTAACTTTCTCTTATTTTTCCTTCGTGGAAACCTGAATGATATGGGATTTGAGACGTGTCTTGTTTGTGTTGTAATGACACTGACAACCACCGCGTGGCAGTATAACTGCATTAATCATCGCTAAGATCGGCGGCTCATGCTCGGCGCTATATTACAACAAATTTGGGGTTTAAGGCTGCACGGTAGCCACACACCAACCTCTTTGAGCTCGTGTGGATTTCCTCCAGCAGAACAGAAGGTCTGGCCATTTTGCAGTCCCTTGATGAGGCGGAGGGTTGAGCCGGGAGGATATTAGGGGACAAGTCTGCAATTCTACCGTCGGCAAGCATTTCTCAAAATGAGAGGGATAGTTTTTCACATTGTTAAGATGAGCTTGAGACTCCCCCCCAAGATAAAATACTAAATTATTTATATACGGCACAAAGTGTAAATGTAAATGCACATGTTCCTTATAGGCTAATAAGATTTTTGACGCTAACAGTCTACAGTTTTTGCTCTGCTCAGTCTCACCGCGGCGGTACAGTCTTGCCTGTTATTGACTACAGGCGTATATGTATTTGTGTATTCAGATGTATCCCTGAATACGACCTCTCTCACCCACTCAACCTAATTTTCCCCGTATCATCCCATTAAGATTAAGCGGGGAACGGCCATGACGCCCCCCGGCCATTGACTCTGCATGTGTTCCAAGCAGAGCTGTGCTAAGGATGGTGTAGTAAACGCCATACACGAGTGACCCAGGAGTCCCAGTCTTCTGCTCAGAGGTTATCAATCTTCAGACTGACATGATGTTTATTCCCCAGGAACAGAAATAATTGCAATCATGTATTCCAGTGCTTCATTATGGGTCGGACCAAAGCTTTGTGTGAGCATTATGCATTTTACTCTGTCCTGAATCAGTATTTCTCTGACTGGTTTCTACCCTTTTCGTAATTTCCTCCTGCCCCCCCCTTTCTGTAATTTGGGATGGCTCTATTAACGGCATCCATCCTTGGTGCCGTCAGTATATATTGTTTGGGGACATGTACTATATTAAAATCCATCTGGATCAATTTCCTGAGGCTTGCAGTGGCCTCAAATTTACATAAATTACATATGTGTGTAATTTTAGCTACATATAATTATACATTGTAGCTACATTGATGACCCTCACATATCTCTTAAATCAAACCTAACAGCATCAGCATCTTTGAAATTCTACACACTGGTTTAATCCATATTTTAAATATGGGGAAAGATATTACTTTTTTTTATTATTAGTAATCAGCCTTAGGGTCTTGGTGCTCAGTCAGAAACTGTTCTATTGCATAACTGGCATGGAATAAACAAAGGAACAGCCAGTATCTGATAATTATTTTTAAAACATTTCCTAGAAATTCTGTTGCCTATAAAATGACTGTGTGGTGAGTGTCGGTTAATCCATTTGGTGACAGAGGCGTCACCTAGACTGTCATGTGCAGAGGGGGGCACTACATGGGCTTTGACTGGGCCTGTGTGTGAGTGTATAGTCTGAGATTATATTAGGACTCTAGCAGCTGGTTTCACGTTCACACTGGTGGAGATTCCACTCATGACAGCATCAACAAATTGATATATCATCATGCTTACGGCTTTAAATAAGTAATGCTGTTATTTTGTTTCTGCTCTTGACTTTGGGGAACCCAGACTGACAGGAAGACTTTAGTATTCCATCTCTTCTTTTGCCAAGAACATTGTGAATGAATGAATGACCGTCTTTGGTTGACTCCTTTGAGTTTTCGTTCACAGCCTTGCCAAACTCATTGCTGTCGTCGTCGTGCATTTTGGCGTCTTGAATGTGGGACTCGTTGGGTCTCTTTTTAATAGCATTGGCTAAAAGTCACTGTCACAGTTACTGCGAATAGATGGATGGGAGTTTGCTTGTAGGCTCTGTATCCATATTCTCCTTGGAGTTTTGATGATCCTCGCTGTTCTTCCAGTTTCCGGTTCATAACGTGAGGTACATGACAGTCAGCGTTTTCAGCATGTGACACGTGCTGCACACGCTGATTGGCCGTCATCTACCTTAGTGACACTCTACACTTATCTCATTGATATGCAGTAATGCTTTTCTTGTCCAGGATCTCAGCCGAGGCTACGCCCAGTGCCAATCAGCAGACCTTCCTCTTCATACCACTTCACCCCACCTCTGCTCTCTATTGATTCTGAGATTGTATTTTGTATTTTATTTACTTAGCAGTTACTTTTATCCAAACTGATGTACAGTTGAGCAGGTCGGGGTTAGCTAGTCCCTGGACCAATTAGGGTTAAAGGTCTTGGTCTGGGGCCCAACAATGACATCACTCTTCTCACCAAGGGATTTGAGCTGACGACCATTTGGATTATAGACACACATTCCTCACTCACTGAGCCACACGCTGCCCCTAAAGAAAAGCACTTGACTCCGGGCAGACTGGTATGAGGACTAAACCGCCCTCTATTGGCTTCCAGTCCCAGTCTCTCACTGGTCCCTGCTCTACACAATAAACCAAAATTGGGCCAATCTGTGATGGACCCTGCCGTTGGACACAAAGGCCACATTTAGAGTCTGGTCGTCCCAGACAGACTGCTGGCCTGTTTTCCACGTGCCCAGAGTCAGCAGAGTTACTGCTAAAATGGGTGTTAAAGAGGCAGACTGGCATAGGTTGGCTTTGGATGCGTCTGCATTAAGCTGTTGGTAAAGCAGGGGTGAGATACAGGTGATGGTCAGAGTCACCGCCGGTGATTGGCAAGCATCACTATCAGCCATGCTGTGTCATTGATCACTTGTACAGCAGCGAGGTGAGAGAGACCCCTGCCCCCCCCTCTCAAGCCATATGATTGAGGACCCCCCAGATGTCAAGATTTTGTTTCAACCAACCAATTGAATATAAAGAGTCACAGACACAGAGTACCCAACTGGGTGGTTGAAACAAAATCTTGGTCTGGATTTGTACTCTCTGGACCTGAAATCTTCACCTCTGCAGGCAGGACAGATGCAGTGAGAAGATCCCCCCCCCCCTAAGGACAACAAAACAGGTCTGTGTCTGAGGTAATGATGAAGAACAGTCAGAAAGATCAACCATCTCTGTCCCGTCTCTCCCCTCTTTCTGAAAAAGGGCATTTTTTGGTCATTCTGTGTGCATGAGTATTGAATAAGTTTCTCTGAAATGATAAAAGCGGTTTCTAATACAGCTGAGTGTTGCAGCACAAAGAATATACATTTTTGCCCTATAAAAATATATAATACGGCTCTTCTGCATTAATCCAATTTTCATCAAATAGCAATTCAACCCAGAATATTTTAAATCATCCCGTAGCAGAATCTTATTTATTTGCAGAAAATTTCCATTCTGCCTCGCATTGTTCAACTGCTTCCTGCTAATTATTGCCACCGGCTTCAGAGGCACATAAGCTTCAGAGCCACATCAGTGGTGCCCCCATGAATCCTTAGTGCCTGGATGACTTAAGAGCTGACTGAATCGTCAAAGGAAATGTACGGCATTTCTTCCACCTGGCTGTGAGCCCTGTGCCGGGAAAATGAAAAATAAGGATGGTTATTTCATTACCTGTTACATCGGTTTGTGAGAGACTGCATGCCAGAGGTCATGGTAAAGTAGTCAAAATATAAACAGGGCAGAGGAAAACTGATTATTTTCAGTCCTGATACCTGACTGTCATTTACTACAGTTCAAAGGGCTGCCTTTGTGACAAAATAAGTCTATACTATTATTGAATGAAATACAAAATGCTTTTCCTATTGTTACACCACACATACAATGGCATCTCAAAAGTGTGTACTCCTCCGTATCGGGGTGCTGGAGGTGCTCCAGGTTCCTCCATCAAAAAAAAAAAGATGCTGTTTGAGATTCTGATGCTTAATTGAGTGTTGGGTGTGAGGATCCTGCTATTCCTTGTGCAGGATCCAGGTTCTCGGTGACCTTGCACTGGACGTACAGTGTAGCTGCATAAGGAAGTGTGTGGCCGTGTGGGTATCTGTGAAAACACCGCTGAACTGGCCACTTGATCAGGGAAATGTGATGAGAGAGATTTCAGGTGCTTCCATTAAAATTTTTAATCAAGAATTCACATTAAAAACACGAAATACTTCCCGAAATACAAGAAAACACAAGGTAGCAAAAATACATTTGTTTTATGGAAAAATAATACATTTGTAAACTATAGATTGCTATTCGGAGTTGTAGTGGTAAGGAAAAATTGGCTCTGCATTGTATGCTTTGATACACAATAATTTCATTCACAGTGACATTTAACGACACTTTTACGGCTGCACAACTCTTCCTTTGTTACAGGTTGCCCTTGAGGGTGGTGTTGTCTGGGGTAATCAGAGTTTGGTACGTATTTAATCAGAACTTCATTGTAATCTGGGGTCCCAAAGGCAAGGTCCATATGGAAAGTGTGGATGATGTAGCCTGGGATCCGACTGGGGAATCCATGTGGAAAGTGTGGATGATGTAGCCTGGGATCCGACTGGGGAATCCATGTGGAAAGTGTGGATGATGTAGCCTGGGATCCGACTGGGGAATCCATGTGGAAA